CTGGGCCTTTGCCCCTTACGTACGGTGATCGAATGCTCATTCTATAATACTGCTCTCAAGCCCCACATGTTCCTGAAATTAGATATCAAAGTTCATTTTGGCGTGGGGGATGACCTCACCACAGGGAGCACAGTGACATCAGCTGAGGTCACTTCTTAGCTGGATGCCCCTGGGCAAATGACAAGCCTCAATTTCGTCATCCATGATCTCCCATCTGACAATACATCCAGATTGCTCTAGACTCCTCTGCCAGGAGTTCAGATCTCTGAAGGGAAGGCCTTCCCCAACTGCCCCGTGTGTCCCCAGGTCCTCCCTGTCACACCAGCACAGCAGTTAAGTGTGTCCACCAGCCTGAGCTATGCTTGAACCAGACGTCTTCTTTTCCTCAAATATGAAATGATTTACCCCAAGTAAGAAGGCCTCTGGCACCCTTTTCTAGTTATGTTCGCACTGGGAGAGGTTTCTTAGCACTTTGCTTTTACTAAGAATTATCAGCCATTGTTACCACGCAGTCGCCATTCACTCACTCAGCGCACACTGAATACACACATGGCAGCCAATGTGCCAGCAGTCAGAAGCACTGCAGCAAGGACAGGGAGGATTTCATGGAGCCCAGGACGGGGGCAGACAATCGTTTATGTGCTTACTAAGTCACAAAGGTGATAAGGACAGTAAAGGGTGCAAGGAAGACACTCTTACAGGACAACCTGACCTAATTCTCTGTCTGGGACTGGGTGGGGGAGACCGAGAGTGTGGCAAAGCTCTAGGATAAAGACGCAAAGACCAAAAAACTAAACAAAGTAAAATTTAAAAGATGGAAAGACGGGGATCATGCCCTGCAGCGGTTGGGAAAAGTGTTATTACTCAAGTTATGGAGGAAAGTAGTCTTCTTTTCACTACTGCTTTGCGGCGCTTCCTCTTCCTGTCCTGCTCCAGCCTAGGGGAACTGCAGGCTTATGTCCAGCACAAGTCAGCTGCTTAATCCCCATGGGTTCCTCTGGGTTTTGCAGAAAAGTCATTCTGTATTTTTGCCAAAAGATGTTCTGTTAACAGAGCCAGTCAGTGTGACCTTAAACATGAACCCCAAGACTCAAGGGGTCACTTGGCTCCTGGGAACTCTGCCACCAGTCGCTGCAGAGCTGGCTCCTAAAACCCCGTGCATGTTCATCTGAAAGGCTGCCCTATGGAGACAAGGCTCACTGAGCAGCTGTGTGGCCAAGTGCTCTATGGTCACTCCCTCATTTCATCTTAACAGACAGCATACCGCCATCACTTCCACTTTACAGACGGGGAAACTGAGGCACAGAAAGGTCAACTTGTCCAGAAGCATCTGCTCCTAAGTGGTAGAGTCAGGGCTGGGACCACAGCATTCGGGAGACTTGAAAGTCACCATTAAGTAGGGCTCAATAACATCCTGCTGCTGGCTATTACACAGGTGACCACACTCCTCTACCCTGGCCCACACCACTTACTCTGTGGAACGCCAACCATTCCACTCCTTCTTTCTCCCAGTCCCATGCCATCTCCATAAACATATAATACTCGTTTATTTGTTTTGAGTATTACATAATATACAACTTTATTTATTTTATGGAGCTGATCTAATCTAGGCCTCGTGCATGCAAGGCATGTACTCCACCACTGAGCTACACCCCCAACCCCAAGACAACGTTCTTTTAAGACCTGCTTTAAACTCTACTCCCATTGTAAAATACAGTTACCCCTCAATATCTGCAGGGGACTGGTTTCAGGACCCCTGAAGGTACCAGGATCCAAGAACACCCCAGTCTCTTATACAAAATGGTGCGGGAGCTGCATATAACCTAGGCACAATCACGATCAGATGACGAACACCTCGTGTAATGCAAATGCTGTGAGACAGCTGTGCTACACTGCTTATGGAACGTGACAAGGAAAAAGTTCACACATGCTCAGCACAGCCCCCCCTGAGAATTTTCCATCTGTGGTTCGCTGCATCCTCAAATGTGGAACCTGAAGACGTGAAGGCTGACTGCACCCTCCCTTTAGAGATTAGAAACTGTGAGGATAAAGGAATTAAACTTAAAACAAAAGGGTAAGAACCTGCCCCTGCTGGGGTGAGGTAGTAATTTTCCAGAAAGAGTCACTGCCAGGGCAAGAAGTTATCCTGGACAAGGGCTGAAAGGAAAGATAAACAGGTACTTCTGGGCACCTCCAGGTGGGAACCTGGACCAAACATTTGAGTTGCAAGTCTTCTGTTTCCCTAAGCACAGAAGACTTAGGAATGGTATGGGATCCTAGCAGGAACCAGTCTGCACACAGCCCCACTCTGTACAAAGGGTCGGACTGGCCTCCCTGCACTGGCCTGCTGGGGGCTAGACTCCTGGCCCTGGCAAAGCCACAGGTGCTAAAGGAGATACACTCACAGCTGGGTTAAGGCAGGCAAGAAAATGACCTGGGGGAGAGGGTGATGTTCCATAAGCAGCTGAAACAGGAGGATATTATGTTGAGCTGCAAACAAAAGTGGCCCGTTTTCATAAGCTTCATTTAATTTCTATTTAGCCTTGGCCTTCTCAGTAACTGAATGCATTATTTATTTTGGCCAGCAACTGCTGTGCGTGGCTTTCAGAACAACAATAACAGGCTTTTAAGGTTTAGCACCACAGCATTTAGAGACCTGAGTAAAAATTCTCAGATGAATTTTTAAACTAGAAGTGCACACCACGTTCTCACTCCAAGCAGTAGCTCGAAGTAAGTAAGGGGTGCAGCAGGCGGGCAATGGGCCCAGGGCTCTATCACTGCTGTCTTCACCCCTGCAGAGTGCAGGGTGGCCCTTGGGGTGGACGGGAGGCAGGGCTCCCAGCTCTCCTTGAATAGCTCCTGGAACAGTCAGTCTTATGAAGGGGGAGCCTTGATCTGCCTGGGGAAATTCTGTTTTGCTTTTTTTATTTAACAGCATGAACCCAGTCACAAATTTGTCTGAGATCTACAACATTCAAAGGTGATCTTATAAAGTTAGAAGAAAACCAACCTCCAGAGCCTCTGCTCATGGTGCCCAACTCTGGAATCTGCAACTCTGGTATCTGTTCCGTGTGCTGCTGGTGAGAACAAACTCAGGCATCCCCTGGCCGAATATTCCTAAACTTCTTAAGAGGGAGCCAGTATACAAAGATTTAAACTCTCTAACAACTACTGTGGGCACGAATGTAAATATCACAGGGAAACACCCCCCCTGTTCAATTAATATAGGCTAATAAAAATTAAAAGGTAAAATCCAAGGCAGCGCCTTCTCATTTCCATGTTTTGGATGGTGGCTGTTAATTTTTATTTTGTTTCCTGCTAACCCATCCTTAGCAAAGCCAAAGATGGCTTCTAGGAGAAGGTTCTGTGTTTACCAACACACAGTGAGGACAGCTGTTTGTCCTGAGTGAGGAGAGAGGGTGTCCTGAGCAGCAAGCAGGTAAACAAACAGCAGTAAGAAAACCTCCCGGTGTGGTGTGTGAGCTGACGACGAGGTACCGAGCAGGAGAGACTGAGGAGGGGCAGCTACTCCAACAGATGGGTCAAGAAAGGCTTCCCTAAAGAGCTATGCTTCTCACCATCCACCTTGTAATAAGCAGAAGCAGCATGTATCTGTGGAAAGAACATTTTAGAAAGACAGAACGGTGAGTGCAAAAGCTCCACATTGGGAGGCAGCTTAGTATGTTTAAAGAACAGGCTCCAAGAGCACTGGGAAGCCACTCGAGTTGCCCAGGGATTGAGCGCAAAGCCAAGCAGAGCGTGAAAAGGTTCCTTGAGGGCAGCCACGCTTGAAGACCTTGAGGACCAGAGCTCTGGTGCCTTCACTCAGCTCCCAGGTGAGTCAAGATACAGATGAACACCACGCCATGGATCCAAAGAAAAGGGGAGTAAGTGACCACTCTCTACCTGGCCCAGAAGGTCCCTCTGAGACAATGGTGGCAAGCAGTGACAATGACCCCAGCATAACCTGTGAGGACGGGCTGGGGAACCCACCGCTGAAGTCACCTGTCCACCTCACACAGAGCCCCAGGAGTCCAGTGGTCACGTGAGCACCCTGACTACCCACACTGTACACACCAGTGTGTAAGTGGTGGGAGGGCATGGTCGAGGACACACGACCAGGGCTGGGTGCCACTCGGCCTCTGCCTGGGGATCAAGCCCGGATTTCTCTCGGGCAGGAGGCTCCAACCACAGGCCCTGCCTCCGGGAGAATGACATGGGATGAATGAATGCAAGGGACTCATCACACAGCAGCTGCTACCTAAATGTCACACTGCAGTTTCTTTCACTCTCTGTGGTGTGGCCTGCTGATGAAGGGATACCTGGCCACCAGCCAGGGTTGCCCACGCATCCTGAGTATGAGACAGGGAAGGTGGTGCTCAGCACGGAACACCTGGGATTCCCATCTGAGAATGTTTGCTTGGCTCAGGTATGAAGCAGGCCAGAGCGCTAGGAAGGTGACACCTGAGAAGCAACACCCACCCAGACAGGTAAAGGGTAAAGAAGCCTCCAATGCCCCTCAGGTGAGGGAGCACTGAGGTGTGGGGACACCACCTCCCAGTAAGAGTAGGCCCCAGTGACCCACAGCCTGCTACTGCACTTCATGTTGGCTTCCTTCCTTCCTGAGCTCGTGTCCCCATGGCCCTGACACTCTGGGGTGGCCTCTCAGATAAGCTCCACCCACACGCCTTTGCCTCAGAAACACTTTGCACCTACCATGGAGCAGAATTCTCAGTGTGTCTCTGGGGTCTCAAACACACCATAAAACATCAACAGCAAAAAAGCAGACGTGGATCTGCTGTGACTGAGCACTCCGAACTCTCCAAGTTCTCCAGTGTCCTTTGCCCAGAAGGTCTGGGTTGCTGGCCTGCCTGAGACAGATGTAAGATCTTACAGGAGAATATCTATCTGTCTCTGTGAATGTGTGCATGACTCACGTGCTTCCTACTAGAGGAGACTCAATACTCATCATCCCTTTTGTTTCTTTCATCTTTCCCGACTGCTGGACTATGGTAAATAGGTGCTGTACCACTGGGCAGCACCTCCAGTCCTTTTGCTTTTCTTGTGTTTTGAGACAGGGTCTTGCTACCTTTGCTGGAGGTAATCTTCCAGCCTCTGTTGCTTCTTCATCTGCCAACACTAGGAGTTTTACTTCTTGGGATCACAGGCGCGCATACCACAGTGGCCTCTGTGCTCCTTAAGGGAATCTTACCCTCTCCCCCATGCAGCTGGCTCAGTTTTTCTCAGCTGCAGGACTAACAGGGATAAGAGAACCACAGGCTTACCTTGGGAGAGGCACTGGTTGGCCAAGGCAACCTGGCCAGAATGCAGGTAGAGGTTGAGCCGCGTGAAGACTCCCACCAGTGAGGGGATGGTGATGAAGCAGTAGGCGACACAGGCCTGGAGAGAAGGAAGGAACGCAGATTAGGGCGGCCGTGCCACGGTAGTTGGCAGGTACTCCTGTGCCCAGGCAGCTTGTGCTTGCAAGTAAAACACAATGCTTAAGCCATGTGTTTCTCCCCAGTCAATCCCCCTGATTTTCCCCTCCTGGCTCTCCTATATCTGACAACCCTTGAAGAGTGAGGAGGGGGAGGTGAGGGTAGTACGGTGTGTGAAAAATTATTCTGCACCCATCATTGCAGAAGTACAAATATAACACCTAATGCTGGCAGATAAAGAAGCAACATTTAAACCAACTACTTAGGAAAAATAACATATTAGAAATCTATTATAAAATACGTTAAAGGGCCAAGCATGGTGGTACATGCCTGCAATCCCAGCCATGAAGGAAGAGGAGACAAGAGAACTGAGGCCCCAGGCAAAAAGAAGCATGAGACCCTACCTGAAAAATAAACTAAAGCAAAAAGCGCTGGAGGTATGGCTCAAGAGGAGACCCTGAGTACAACCCCAGTGCAGGCCAAAAATAACCAAAACAAACAAACAAACAAAAACCCAAAACAATTTATAAGAGAGAGAGAAAATTAGAGGTGATTCAACCGGTACACAAAATGCCAATCCATCTCTCCACCACCCCTCAAAACATTCAGGTTGAGTGTCCCTTATCTGAAATGCCTGGGACCAGAAGTGTTTCAGATTTCCAAGGTTTCTGGATACTGGAATATTTGCATATGCTAATGAGAGCTCACAGGGTTGGACTCTAGTCAAAACACAAAATTCATTTCTGTTTTTAATACACTTTAAACCCAGTCTAAAGGCAGTATTATATTTTTCATAATTTTGTGTATGAGACACAGTTTCACCGTGTAGAATTTTCCATTTTGGCATCATACTGGTAAAAGTTCCAGATTTCTGAGTAGTTTGGATTTGGGAAATGGACATGGCCAATTTGTTTTAAAATTCAAACCCCTTTGATCATTTGTTTTGAAAATGATATGAAAATGATCAGCCCATAGACAGCTAGGGAAAAGTTAATCTGAAAAATCAATAGTAAGCCAAAAACTACCTTATCGTGACACACTTATCTGTAACTGGGAACACTGATTTACAATCTGCAAACTGAACAGCCCACTGGAGTTCAAAGTCCTCCTTAGAACACACCCGGACAAAGGCAGCCGTCTTTCTGGAGTGATTGCCCTTCATTACTTTTCTTGTTTCCATTGCCAGCCGGTTTACACTCTGGATTTAGAAAGAGATAAACAGAAGTGATTATGAAATGACGGCCGATACAGATAAACATCTTCTGCGGAGAGCTGGACATTCACTATAAACATGTCAATCCAGCAAGCTAAGAGACCAGGACTGGTTAGCACCGAACCCTGACAGACCAGGGGTCAGCAGGCCCAGACCAGATCTTGTCTTAAGCAAACATCTCCAGGAGCACAGAACAAAAGGCGCTCATTCGGTTAGCCGGTGCATACCAATCAGCCCTAGGAATGATCATTTTATGGTTTAATGATACCCAGGGTTCACTTCCTCTAATCCCAGAAATCCCACACTCTAAGCCCAAGGTTTTAGAGAGCTTGAGAGACTTCCAAATCTAGGAGCAGAGTATACACTTTGGCCACACAATAGTAAGAGCAGCCGAACCTGTGGCCACATCGCTCAGCTCAAGTCCCTTCATTAGCTCATTAGATCCTTCCAGCTCTACAGGGCAGGTGCCTCCACCTATTCCCATTTGATACACAAAGTCTCTACCTTCAGGTCTTAAGCTCAGTTGTGCTAAGATACAGCTAAGTAGTAAGCAAATATGAAAAAGCTGTTCTTGAATGGGCATGAAGCAATCACAGAGCCTGAGAGAAACTTTCCAAAAATATGAAAAGGCTGTACCTGAGCCGGGCACTGATAACTCACACCTGTAATCCTAGCTACCTGATGGGCTGAGATCAGAAGGATCACAGTTCAAGGCCAGCCCAGGGAACAAAAAATTCATGAGACCCCCCCCATCTCAAGGGAAAAAAGCTGGGTGTGGTGGCACATGCCTGTCATCCCAGAGACAGTGGGAAGTGTAATACAGGAGGATAGTGGTCCAGGGCAGCCTGGGCAAAAAGTGAGACCCCATCTCCAAAAAAACCAGAGCTAAAAGGGCTGGAGGCACTGCTCAAGCCACACAGCACCTGCCTAGCAGATAGAAAGCAATGAGTTCAAATCCCAGTACCACCAAACAGCTGGACCTCTAGCATAGTGCATCAAACTCACGAGGACACCACAGTTTTGGGGGCCAATGACTGCTGAACTCTGTGCAAAATGCCGGTGTGACTCAAAATACTGGCAGCTCGTGACAACACAGGACTGCTTTACAAACCTACACTCGCGTCCTGCATTTGCGACCTGAGTTTAAGTATTGCGCAAAAATATGAAAGAGTCAATGAGGGACAGAGCAGAAAATAAGAGCAGCAGAGTCTAATCTGATTTCAAGGGTGGGAAACTCAACAGTGTCATTAGAAGTTATTATGGTTACTTAAAAATCACATAAAAATACTACTCTTCTCAATTGATGTATATTACCTTTTCAAACGGCTACCAAGCTGTTAGACCAGAAAGTTGTCTGTACCTAACTTCATAATAAATAGAACTACTACTTTTCTTTTGGCATAGGGCCACCAAGTTAGGGAGAAATGCCATGACCCCTCAACCTCTGGTTAGGTCACAAGGGACTCCAGCTTATTATCTCTGTAACTCTGCAGTGGAAGGCACTTAACTCTTTGGCATGCAATTTTTGAAAAAAAGAGGTTAATAAAACCATGCACAGAGTTAAACAAAGCTCCAGGTTTTATTAAACTCTGAGAAGCCACCTTTTCCACCAGAGAACAATAGTGACCTGGGGCCAAAAGAGCCCTAAACTAAAAGCAGTGTGCAGACCATATTGAGAGAGTGAAAATCCTTACATGGATCAAGTGCACGAGAACAGGCTCCAGACTGCAAAACATCGACCGGCATTCCACATAAAAACTTAGCTGTTGTTCAAAGTCACGGCCAAAGGAAACCTATAATCAATAAGAAAGATGCTAAAACCAACAGCGTCATCATTAGTGAGGACACAGAAAACACATCCACACGTACATTCTACCTAGAAAAACTGAGTGTCACATCAACCCGTGTGATGTTGCCAGCTCCACTGTGTGACACAGGCATCAGACAAGAACATGAAAAGTCAAAGGACAGAAGACAGAAGCTCAAAGCTGGGCACTGGCGGCTCACACCTGTAATCCTAGCTACTTGGAAGGCTGAGATCAGGAGGATCACAGTTCAAGGCCATCCTGGGCAAACAGTTTGAGAGACCCTATCTCCAAAATAACCAGAGCAAAATGGACTGAAGGTGTGGCTCAAGTGGGAGAGCACCTGCTTTGCAAGTGTGAAGCCATGAGATCAAATCCCAGTCCCACCAAAAAAACAACAACAAAAACCCAGAAGCTCAAAACATAAATAGGATTTTCCAGGCTTAGAAGGAAATCATGGAATTTTGTCAGCTACGGCTTGAGAGCCACTTATTATAGGAGGTTCCCTAACACAGGCCACACCTTTCTGCTTCCTGATTGAGACCTGACCTCAGTAGCTCACTAGTGTCCCCCAGAGCCACAAAGGAAGCTTCTCCACCATCAAACCTCCCCTCTCTTCCTGTTAAGCTTGTAACAGCTGGTGGTGCCCATCAGTCAGTTCTGTCCTGAGAAGGTTTAGCTTTGTATTTCCATCAGAGCCTATCAGGGGTCACATCATATTCCCTCATCTTCCTTCCCTTATAACTCAGTAACCCGTACAATGATAAATACCACCTGGTCAGTATACTCTATAAACCAAGGATAACGGAGAGGCTCCCCAGTACAATCACAATTTCAAGGTTATATTAGCCAAGTGTCACAGTATGCACCTGCAATTTTCAGCTACTAGGGAGGCTGAGGAGAGATCACTGGAGCCAGAAGTCTACAGCCAGGCCAGATGACATAGCAAGGCCTCACTGTAACAATGACAGCAATGACAAAAAGATATTGGTGGCAGCTGGTGTTTTAGCCTAAGCACTAAGGCACAGATTGGTCTGGGATGGCATGTGCAATGGCAGGATGTTTCCAGAGAAGGTGGCTGCTTTGCTTTTCTTCCACACGGTCTGTTTCTTCCTGTCAGGAGGTGGGATATTTTCTGCTCCCCCCATCCAGGCTGGTCTCAAGCCTTGCTTTGGCCAACTGTATAATTTCTTAGCCTCTGTCTTCAAAAGCCCTGCAGCTTCCACCTGTGTCCTCATAGAAGCCAACACCATGTAAGGCAGCTCAACTGAGAGTACCGAATGACAGAAGAGTGAAAAGGAAGAGGCTACATGGATGAAAACAGACAGCTGACCAACAGCCAGCACACAGCCTGGGAAAGTGAGCGAGGCTGCCCTGGGTCCTCCAGTCCCATCTTGCCATATGAGTCAGTTCCACCTGGAGCAGCCTCGTTACCAACTCACAGAACTCTAAGCAGTAACAAAGCAGTTACTTAAAGCCACCACACTTTGGGGTGAGTCGTTCCGTAGCAGTAGATGAAGTAAGATGGACTGGGAACTGGACATCTGGCATTCTGTCCACCCACAGCTTTTCCACCACCTGACAATCAGTGTATCAGCCATGTCAGAAAGGGAACCTTCTCTCCACTCTTGTCCCTGTGATTTGGATCACCCTCAGGTGCAGATGTCTCCCAGGCCTGGACAAACAGTATGCTGGGGCTATGACCCAAGTCATCCAAAGAGCCCCAACCCCAGGACTTCTGCTGGAGTGCCTCCTGCTGGGCTGCAGAGCTGGGGATGGAAAAACCCAGAGCACTCTGTGGGTGGAGAAAGTGAACATCTCCAAGAAAGAGGCCAACAGAGCAGAGTGGAGTCAAAGATGATGTGGACAGCAGGTCCAGAGGACAAGGCGGAGACCCCAGTCCAGGGGCAACTCTAGGGTTCCATCCCAGGCTTTCTGATACATGAGCCAATGAATCCCTCTTGCAACCTCTCCCCTTTTCATTTCTCTTGGAGCCAGCTTATCTTGGCTCTCTTTGTTCCCAAAGGAGACCTCACTAATGGAAGACGTTTACAACCCCATCTTATCTCAGCTAAAATGAAAAGCACCAGGGAACATTACGTAAAGTGAATTCGCCAAAGCGCAGATAAACAATGACATCACACTTCCACGCACACTGAAGTGGTTTCCCCTGAACTTACCATTTTTATAAATCCATTAATCAAATGTGCCAGTGTTCTTTTCTCATCCTCAAGAGTGAGTGCACTGCAATCAATAATTGTACATAATTAACAAGGAGGCAAAAAATTCAAAGTTTCTGAAGACACAAAGACAAGAGGTAAATGATCTCACAGGAGGAATGGTCTGCACATTTCTAGGTTACAAAAGCTCTCGCCAGGGGGTGTATTTTCCTTTGGATAAAAACATGTAATCGAAATGAGCAGCATTTAAATGTGCCCCCTCACTCCCTCCAGGACGCCATCTCAAGATACATTTACTATCAGGAGAAGAAAAGGCAACTCTCTCTTCTGGGGAATATGGCAGAAAGGTCTAATGTCAGATTTTGCATTTCAAAGAAATTCTGACAATATATTATAAAAAACAATCTCCCTCACACACCAAAAATCTTTCCAGTGACCACCACATACCCACTGAGAGCCCCATGACTACCATCTCACAACACCTGTCTTTTTTTTTTTTTTCCTGACCTAGGTCTCCCCATTCACAATACAGACCAGGCACAGGGCCTGGGCTGAGGTGTATATGGGGTAGGTTTGCTTTGCCTCCTCTTTCCATACCGTCTGTAAAAACACAGCCTGTGGTAAGCACCAGGCCACAACACCTGTCTTATCACATGACCATCCACTCCCTCTCCACCCACCTTGGTTTTTGATGCATCTTAACGTAAATCACGCTCTTATTTAATAGAGAACTTAACACAGAATTAAAAATGTCAAGTTTATAGCACTGATTACACATATGAGGCCCATAAAGTTTCTTCAAACTTATTTTTAGAAAATGTACGAGTTTGGGCTGGTGGTATAGTTCCAAGAGAGAGCCCTGGCATGTAAGAGGCCTTGGATTTAATCTCCTCCACTGAAAAAGAAAATTTAAGAGCCCAGAAAAAGCAAGAATAATTTTTTTTAAGTGGTACTGGAGACTGAACCCTGAGTCTCTCCTAGAGAGCACTTTAACCTCTTGAGCACTCTCCCAGCTTAGGAATGAAATCTGTTTGGTCTGTTCTGGGAGGGAAGTAAGTTTTGGCAAAGGCTGCACGGCCCTCCACTATGTGATGAGCTCAGTTGCTGGAGACATTCCCCAGCCATCTTCATAGCTAGGTATGAAGATGAGGTATGAATACAGATGATAGGCAAGCCTTCCACACGCTGTCCCTAAGAGAAAGCTGTGGTCTTCCACGGCCGCAGGCTGGACCATCAACATGGTGGAAGAAGCCAGTTTCCAGCAGAAAGACAAGGACATCACTCAGGGATGGCAGAACAGCAAGACAGAAGGGACTGGTCCCTGGATAAGGTGCCAAAGGGGAGCTACCTTTCCCACCTTCTGGACTGTTCAGTCACAAAGCAAGGTCTTACAAATACAAGTCCTTTCTGGATGCTCTTTTATGACTTTATTTCTGTTTACCCAACTAAAGTCTACTGGGCCTATTTATTATAAAAATGTCACCCAGGCTGGCCCGGAATGAGCTCTTCCTGCCTCAGTCTTCTGAGTGCTGAGATTATACACATGCATCACCACACCCAGCAAAAATAAGCTTGGTAGTTTTTTATAACTACTGATGAGTTTGAAAACAGTCATGGAAATAAAGACTCCCTAAACTTAAAGAAGAAAAAGGAAAAAGAAGAAAAGAAATGCATCTTGTTGATGAAGTTGCAAAACAATGTTTCAATTTATGCAACATTTCTCAGTAAATCCAGCTGCTAAAATAACCACAAATGAGCAGGAACTGTCTCAAACACAGTCAAATGGAAATACATTTAAAAAAGGAAAAAGAAAAAAAAATAAAGAGCAAAAAAAGGTTAGTGATAATTCAGCCTCTGACCTAATGGTAAGGCCTGTGGACAGATCTGAGCCCAAGTAAACTGAGCAAATAAAGCCCTTCGTGGAAGAAATGTAAGCAACTTCATCAGAACTCTAAGTAATTGGTCTCTAACAAGATAAAGCTAAAAGGCTGTTACCAGATGAGTGAGTTCACTGTTACACCCTCTCCCGTGGTATTTGACTTCACGTGCATGAATAGCAGTCTCTCGATCCAGCAGCCATCCCTCTGTGTGAACATCTGCCATCTCATTTTCTCCAGAAGGCTCCCTCCCCTCTGCTCCCTGCTCCCAGGCCTGGAATATGCTTGTTAGCAAGACTCTTAGGAGACCCCAGACAGCTATTCCCAGTGTGGCTTCATCCCTGACGTACTAGCAGGTGGCATTTAAACCCATCCACATTGCATTTCAGAGTTACGCATGGCTTACTTCACAGAGTCGTGCATGGTCTTGCAGATGTGCAGAAGGGCATTCAGGATGACTGGGTCCTTGGTGGGCTCCTGCTGCTGCCTAGGAAACATGAAAAGATTGGGGTAGAAGTTCTGTCCATCAACAGCAATGACAGTAGGCTTACATCACATCAACTGGATGTGTTTGAGATGCGACAGTCAGACTAGCACCTCAGTGGCCAAGTTCACCTGTACTGGGAAAGGTTCTGCATTTCCTCTTCCTCCTTCAACTAACAAGCTCCTCCATTACACTACTTAACTTCTCCTAACTGCAAGATCAGAATGAAATTGCTACATTGCCTAAGGCAGGCGAGGGCAAGCCCGCCTTCTTACCAAGTTTCCCGCCCTTTCTAAAGCTGCCCAAAATCTGTGTGTTAAGTATTAATGCTGAGCAAAATTACTCACTTCGTTTCCCAAATGATATAAAAGGACAAACTCCTGCAACAAATGTTTAGGTAAGTAATGTAGCTCTATTTGTTCTAAGCATATTAATGACAAATTCATATTAATCTTTTCAAAAGATAACAAGCTTGCCACATATTTGAGCAACCAACTCAAATTTCTAAACTCAACCACACCTACATACCCAATATTTAAAGCAATTTTCATTTTTTAAATCTAACCATGTCCTAAAAAAAAAAAAAACCTATGAAATCACAGATGAACTGGTTATATACTGTATAGTATCTTCAAAATCAATATATAACTTAAAAAAGAAAACAGCTTTCGTTGGCCCGCACACTCGATCTCTCACCTTCCTTCATCCTTCTTCACCACACACTGGTTTCTCTTTATCTTACACACCTTACCACCTGGGTTTATTATTTATACTTCTTTTGGTCTCACCACTAGAAGGTAAGGTTTTTTAGTATTTCTTTTTTGAGATGGGGTCTCACTGTGCAGGCCAGGCTGGTCTCAACCTCCTGGGACTACAGGTGCTGCTGCATGTCCAGTGAGAGCAGGGGGTTGAAAACTTGATTTTCTAGAACAATGCGTGGGCTGTAATAGGCTCTCTCAATAAACATTTAGAAGGAACACTGCACGTGGCTCTATGTAGCACTCTGTAGGTGTTCTGTGTGCCTGTGTCTGAACAAACAAGACTTTACCATATATAATCCCCTACTAAAAAAACCCTTCCTGCGTGGCCACCTTCAAATCATCTCGTATACCATGGGGAGTGGGCCGTGTGGGGAAACACAGACTTAACAAAATTACACGAGCTAGATTTGAAAACCAATCACAAACCAGCCAGCTATACACTAAACACTGGACCTCGAATGTCCCTGGCATGTGTATCCCTGGGTGCACCGTATTTTTGTCCTTTAAAATGTTTCTCCGAAGCATTCATCCAGAGACCTCCTTCCAGAAACATGCTATAGTAACTGAGCTCTGGACAGATCCGTGCCAGTACTTGTCAGTCTGCCTTCTTAGGCCGAATTAAACTTGAATCATGGCCCCCACTGTTTTGTTTTGTTTTTGTTTTTTTGGAAGGAAGGTCGCACTGAGCAGCCCAGGCTGGCCTCACACTTGAGGTCCCCCTACCTCAGCCTCCTGGTGTTGGGATTACAGCTGCATAACACTATGCCCAGCATGGCACCTGCTTTTAAGATGGTTCTTCCTGCTGTGTTTCAGGTACAAGATCCTCCAAGTGCACAATCTGACTCATCAGCCCTCTCACAGGGCCCCGGAACCAGGCTCCCACCATGCGGGGCAGTACTCACTTGACAAAGGCCTCCGTGATGCTCTTGCAAACCTCCACTCTCACACTCTCTTTCTGAAACATGTCCAGAAACGGTAGAAATTTTTCCTAGGAATAAAGAGTCATCTATAGGCAACCACCACAGGTAACTGGAGGGAGGGACTATGTGGTCACTTTTCTTTGGGGGCCAAATGAGGAGCAGAGGCACTCAGGCCTCCCCTGGAAGATCTGGCTGGGGCTTTTTAAGCTATTTCAGGTTGAGCATCCCCTAGTCTGGAAACCTGAAATAGAAAATGCTCTAAAATCTAAATGATCATCAGCACCACGGGATGCCACGAAGCTCCGTCCCCACGTGGCGGTGTGACAGACATTGTACAAAATAACCTCCAGGCTATGTATGCATTTACATTGGGGTCCCACCCCCCAACACCTCATTGTGCATATAACATGTTCCAACATCCAAAAACATCTGAAAACATGAAACTCTTCCGCTCCCAAGCAATTCGGATAAGGGATATGCATCTGTCCCAAGTGCAAATCGATGTGGAAGAGGGAGGAAGGAGGAAAGATGCCCAATTTAACTGCCAGATTTGAAAAGTCATGCCAGACCCAACAGGTGCACACATCCTACTGGTGAGTAATGAATGAAATGGAGATAATATTTGTCTTTCGCTTAATGGGGATTACTTTTCCAAATGCTGCTTATATTGTTAGGACAGAATTACTTAACTAAGTTGATTTGACCTAAATGCTTTTTGAAAGGAGCTATTAACTATTTCTTCTGCTTTCAGTTATCTTGAAAACTTTAGCGAGAAATAGATACACATTTCCAAAGAGAGTTCAGAAACACTACTTACCACTGAGAAAAGCACTGAGAAATCGTGGAAGTGGGTGATAACTTTCTTAATTATTGACTGAAGCTGTGATACAGAAGACACACCTTAGTTAATAACACATATTTTAAAAAGGTGACCCTCCTTCCTGTCTTGATCTGGGTTTGCCCTCCATTCTCCACACTCCTCCATCACAGCCTTGGGAAGCCACTCTCCCTCAGCCCCAGTCTCCTCCCATGTAGAATGGAGCTCAGAGCAGGGCCCGTGAGAAGTAAGTGGGATATTGCACATGCTCCAAGCAGGGCCTGCCTTTGAAGGCACTCCACTACCTCAGCTGTTGCTGTTATTGGAGGGGAGAGCAAACTTTCTAAAAGGGCCCAGCCTTTCCAACTACCCAATGCTGCTAGTCAACCTGTGAAAGGAATGGGTGTCTGTGTGCCAATAAAACTTTATTCACTTCAACAGCTGACAGGCCACACGTGGCTGTGAGCCGCAATTTGCCATCTCTATTCTAACCTATCATGGGCCTGTGTTTCTTCACTACTTGCATGCAGAGGAATTGGAGGGAGTTTGCCAGTGAGGTCAAAGGCCAAGGCATGACCTGAAGATGGGGCAGAGTCTATGAGCTTTGCTCAGACACTCCCAGGGACTCATGTCCACCACCCTGACCCTGAGGCACACATGGTCCTGACCACTAAGGGGGCCCTGCTTCTAAATAAAATGTAACTCCTCCCCCTGGGTGCCTTCTAGAACATTCACTGACAAGTAATTTTGTTTATACTAAAACTTGTTGCCTAAAGCATTTTCAAGAGAAATCTCATGTTCTAAAAGCATAGAATAGGAAGGTGCTGGCATAATGGTTCAAATGGTAGAGCACCTGCCTGGCAAGTTTGAGGCGCTGAATTCAAACCATAGTACCATCAAAAATAAGTAAGTAAATAAATAAATAAATAAAAATAAAAGCACAGAATATGAAGATGTGCAAGACTACTTTATAATTAAGCAGTTCACTAGGCCAGTCAATCAGAAGACTAAAAAATTTTGGGCTCAAGACATCATGACAAAGGTCGTGCCTGCCTTGATCCTAGTTACTGGGGATGACAAAGGCGGCGCCTGCCTTGATTCTAGTTACTGGGGATTCTGATGCAGGAGAATGGAGAGTTCAAGGCGAGCCTGAGCCAACAGCGAGATCTTGCAGTCCCCCCGCCCACCAAAATAAAAGAAAGAGAGAAGGAGGGAGAAAGAGGAGGAGAGAGAGAGAAAGGTGGGGGGAGGGAGGGAGAGAGAAAGAAGGAAGAGAGGGGAAGGAAAAGAAACATACAAACAAAACACCACCAACAAATTTCATAACCAGTGATGCTCCAAGGCGGAGCAAGATACAGCCACACTGTCTGGCTAAAATAGCTTCTGAAACACAAAGCAACTACCCCTTTAGGACAAAAAAATTTAAAAGACTTCACTGTAGTTCCACATTCAACTGTGATTTTAGGAGACAGGGTTTTTCCCTGGGTTTTTCTTTCAGTATTTCATTACAAAAATGCTCAGAGAAAACGGAAGGAATTGTGCAGCCAATGCCTGCTCACTCAGTAGCTAATGCTTTGCCTCTGTGCACCTCCTCTCTCTCCACTGCCTACTGGTAGGATGTGTGAACACGCGGTCCATACACCTTTTCTAACTTTTTATTTTGAAATAATTTCAAACTTGAAAAAAGCTGAAAGAATAGTACAAATAACTCCTGTGTATTCTTTACACACATCCACAGATTTTTAATATTCTGGCCAAATGTGCCAAAATAATGTCCCCCAAAGGCCCCTGTGTTAAAGGCTTGGTCCCAAGGGTGGTGCCGCTGGGGGATGGTGGGAACTTCAGAAAATGGGGCCTAATGGAAGGCCTCGAGGGGACTAGGGGACACTGGTCTCTTTCTCCTCCTCTTCTGTCCCCTGGCTTGTGACGTAACTTTTTCTCCACTACGTGCTCCCACCATGATGTACTACTGCCCAAAGTAATGGGGCCCACGACCATGAACTGGAAGATAAACATCTTCTCTATCTAAACTGTACCTTAGGCATTCTGTTATAGTTACCAAAAGCTAACACGGTGCCCTACCATTCCAGGAGTGAGACAACACGCGTTCTCCTGACCCACACGAGGGTAAGCTCCATGACTCCTGTCCCTCACTTCCTAATCCGTCATTTTGGATTACCTGAGGACAATCATCTTCTGACATTTCCACTGCTCTCTTTTATTAAGGTCAGGGGCGCTAACACCGACGCAATGAAGATGCTTTCATCTACCGTCCAGCCCCAGTGCTGGTGGCCGTCTTGGCGTGTCCGTGCAGCACCATTCTCTCTCCTCTATTCTGGATCCAGGCTGGGACTGTGTATTGTGTTTCGTGTTCATGCCTTTTAGCCTGCGTGTTAAATTCAGAGCGCTTCCTCAACCTGTCTCGGTCATTCGCACTTCTGAAGAACTATAGACTGCTCCCGAATGTTGGCCTGTCGCATGTTCCTTCATGGTTAGATTTGGCTTCTGCATTCTTTATTGTAGTACTAGGGTTTGAACTTGGGGCCTTGTACTTGCTAGACAGTACCTGAGCCACACACCTAGCCCTCCTTTTTTTTTTTTTTTTGCTGTAGTTACTTTCCAGACAGGGTCTTGCATATTTGCTGGCTACCTATGCTTCCAGAGTGGCTGGGATTACAGGTGTGTACCATCATGCCCAGCCAGCTTATGCATTCTTGACTGCAATGCTACTTAGGTGATGCCATGTCCTTCTTGGGGCACCACATCTGCAGGCACACAGTGGCCATCTACAACTCCCAGATGATGTGAACTGTGATTAGCTGGTCAAGAACTGTCCTACTTCTCTGCTATAGTCACTACTTTCTCCCTTGCAGTCAAGAGAGGATGCTATGAGATATGCAAATATCCTGCTCCTACCAAACTCTTCCCCAGGGCTCAGCAGGCACTGACGCTTCTCACCTGAAGCTGGCTGACTCTCACTGTCACTATGATGGCTGTGACATGGTGATTTCCAACTCTGCCATCCTTTCAAATATTTCTCACAGCACCCACGCTTTACCTCTCCCCTCACTTATCCAACTTTCCGTCCTAAGGATGGACTCCTGGACTTCTGTCTTACTCTGTCACTGCCCTGATTTTCTTGCACTCTCAGGTTCAAAGCTTGGGAGCTCTGTCACAATGGTCCTGAATTCCCTGACCCCATGTCCCTGCCACTTTCTGAACACGCCCTCATTTTTCTGCACCCCAGGACTGGAGTAAGCCAATTCCATAGACCCCTGAAGTTTCATTCTCTCTCATGTGGTCCCCCTACCAAGTGCATGCTACCAACATGGATGGCTGTCCTGAATGATGGTGGACTCCAGGGCATCTTTCTTTTCTTTTTTTTTTTAAAAGTTATTTCTTTTAATAATCTACTATTCTCAAATGGGTATATAAGAACCTAAAAATTTATTATACCATATATGGGCCAAAACAAAATTGTGTGTGCAAATATTCAATTGTGCTGGATGAACTGTAACAATGCACAGTAATAAAGTGATAATTTATTGGGCTTCTCCTAACCACAGCAGGTTTTAACATAGGCAAGGTGAACAGAGAAACATGCTTTCCTCTCATGCGTCTGTCTTTTCCTTGTGTCTCTCTCTGAGATCTTCAAGGCTCCCTCATTCACTCTGCCAGAATGACTGCTTTGTGAACCTGGCCGTTCTGGTCTGCAGTATAATTGTCTCTGAGTATACACTACTCTCACAGACCACCATCTTGATCATCTGTTCAAGTTGTCTTGGAGTAAATTTGTGACACTGTTTGAGTATTTTTCTGTTATACTCATTTACTTATATAAGGGTCTAACACCCAGGATATCCAATATGGGTTGCTTTTAGATACAGCAAAATTATACTTTAAGATCATTACACTGTTGAACATTTTCAATTAACAGAGTCTCTAGCAGTCAAGGTCTCACTAAATACCCAACAAAACCAAACGAATACTGGTCCTCATATGAAGAGACATCTCCTCTCCATGCTGGGTTCATGCATTCTGGTTTATTTACTATGTCACATCTAAAAGATGACAGGTGGCCAATGGCTACTCAATAATTGTGAGTCATTTTAATTAGAAAATAGTGAAAAACATTTTTAGTGGTAGTAGGGTTTGAACTCAGAGCCTCATGCTTGCTAGGCAGTCATGCTACCACTTGAGCTATGCCCCCAGCTGGAAAATTCTGAAATTAGCAAATCATTCTAAAACTTGCACTAGAGGTGTGGCCCAGTGGTAGAGTGCTTTGTGTAACATGCATGAGGCCCTGGGTTCGATCTTAGCAACACACACAAACACACACACACACAATGCACACAAATATTTTTCTAAAACTCTTTCAAGAATGTAACAAATTGTCTTATACTAAGTATAATACAAAAATCAACTTCAGGCAATAGTACCACAACATCATGTTATTAAATTTAAAAAAACATCTTAACGAGGTCAAGAGTTACCTTACTGTAAGTGATCCTGACCTGGATGCTACATTGCAGGGGGAACCCTGCCATAAAGGATTGACAACACCAGGGTTGGCCACGGCCATGGAGAACATAAGAAGCAGACTAATGTTAAACTCCCTGACACTGATCTCAGAACCGTGGCTGTGGAGAATCCTTCTTAGGAAACACTGAATTCTTTAGAAGCAAAGGTGGAGCATGATGTAAGCAACTTACTCTCAAAGGACTCAGAAAACGATGCATATACGCAAGTGTGTCGCACGTGTGCGCACGTTGCACATTTACCACAAGGACAGAGCAAATGTGGCTCTTTGAGCTTGCTTACTGGCCTACCTGACAACTGCCACATGTCACGCCACAATGTTGGTGCTTAACCTGTCACATCTCACTTAATCCTCACGAGGACTCTCAGGGGAGAACTATTACCCCAACTTTGAAGGTGATAAAAATGAGGCACAAGTTTAGGAACTGACCAGAGCCCCGGGCTAGGATGCAGCACAGCTAGGACTGAAACACAGTGACCTGACTTGGGCTCTCAACCATACGCCACACCATGACTATTTAGCTCAACAGATTGAAACTCCAGTGTTGACAAGTGAACGCAGATCTGTTACCTGGGGGTAGCAATCCTCAAATGCACGATCGGGGGTCATGTGCTTGATGACGTCAGCCAAAACAGTGTTCACCTCTCGCTTCTACGTGGGGGAGAGAAATCAAAGCACCTACTCAAAATGTATCACACATCCTCCAGGAAAGAGTTTCAGATATTCTGCTGAGAATAAAGAAGGGAAGCTCTCTCGCCCACATTGCCTGGTACAGAGCCACAGCCCTAGAGATGACTACATCTGCTCTGGGTGCCCCAAACCCAGTGCTCCAGGCTCTGGGCTGCACGTGGGCCCTGCTCTCTTGGACAGTGTTAAAGGAGACCACACTGCCTTCCCCCGGCCTGTCCCAGACCCCTGCCTCGTGCCTCAGGGCAGAGGCATCTGGGGCCTTACCAGCCATCTGGACTGAATGATCACTTCTGCCATGTGTACCAGGGGTCGACCATCTATTTACAGCCTTAGCGCAGCCTACTCTCACATGGCCAGTGAGCTAGGAATGATTTTCACATTCAATCCAAAAAGACAACAGTATTTCATGGCAGCAAAAATTAGGAGATTCAAATTTCAGTGTGTATAAATAAAGTTTACTGGAACTCAGTCATGCTTGCTTATGTATTGCCTACTATCAAAAAAAAAACAAAAACATAAATTGGGTGGCCTGTGAGCAACAGAAATTTCTTTCTCACAGTTCTAGAAAGTTCCAGATCAAGGCACTGACAGACTTGGAGTCTGGAGAGGGCCTGCTTTCCTAGCTGTCACCTTTTTGCAGATTATTCTGTGGTGGGAGGGCCAAACTCCTTCAGGCCTCCATCACAAGGCACTAGTCCCCTTCATGAGGGCCCCACCCTCATGACCTGCTCATCTCAAAGGCCCTACTTCTATTTTTTACAAGTAGGCTGGCATCCTGGGATAGTTAACAACAGAGTTGGCACAAACTGTGTGAGTGCCAGAAAGCTCGTGGCTGCTACTCGGACAGCTGTGTGCAATGTAGGCAGCTGCCTACGGCTGCACCTCTTAACACTACCATGGGGACTAGGGTCCAAACTGGACCTGGGGGTGGGCAGACAAACACATTCAAACCATAATAATGTCTAATGCCTTTGCTTTTTTTGGTGGTACTGGGCCTTGACAACAGGGCCTCACACTTGCTGAACAAGCACTCTACACTTGAGCCATGCCTCTGCTTCTTTTTGCTTCAGTTATTTTTCAGATAGGATCTCATGCTTTTGCCCAGGAACACCACTTCCTATCTCTGCTTCCCACATAGCTGGAATTATATGCACACACCACCAGACCCAGCTTGTTCTCTTGAGGTAGCACTCGTTAACTTTTCTTTTGGCCTGGGCTGGCCTCAAACTATGATCCTCCTATCACTGTCTCCCAAGTAGCTGGGATTATAGGCATAACCACTGTGCCTGGCTTGTACTCCCATTTTTAAAAGTTGATTAAAACAAACAAATAGCTGGTAACAGGATCTGAGCCCACTTCTACCTGCTTCTAAAGTTTCTGCTCTTTGGCCAGCCCAGTAATCCTTAAACTGGGGTTTCTAGTCTGCGCCTAGGGAAAGAGGTATCTTTCTCTGCTTAGGAAAGAAAAATCTGTGCGTGTGTAAGTTTGGAAAAGCTGCCTACTAGACTCTCGTGGGAATTCACAGCGCACTTCAGCAGAGGCATCTAAGTGACCCTGTGGTAGGAAACAGTATGTGTTTCTGCACAATGCAGTGTTGCCCAAACTGACGCGAGAGCGCAAACGCATTTGCTGTGGCACGCACATCAACGCTCCACCCCACTCTACTGTAAGATGCAACTTGTGAGAACAACTGTCATTGGCAAATGCCTAACTAGACTCATCAGCTACTGTAAACATGAAAAAGTGTAATTCTCTCAAAAACAATTCCGTAGCATACACACCGTGAAATGCTTGCAGGTGTACTCCACCCAGACTTCAGCACAATTAACGTAGTCCTACAAAGAGAAAGTAAAAACATCTTTACAGTAAGTTCACCATACACAAAAAGAGAGAGAGAGAGAGAAAGAGAGAGCAAATTCTGGGCTACTGATCTGTTTTGCCATGAGAAGCAAGTGACAGAAAAACAGAAGTTGTCTGCAGCTAATTCACTTTCATTCCAGCTCTGCTCCTTGGGCCAGGATGGAAATCTGGGAGGCTGGGCCAGGCTCAGAGAACTAGAATAATCAGAGGCAGTGCTCTCCACATGACAGGGAGCACTCGCCATACCCCAGCTGAGAACTGATGGGGGCCTGGCTGATGACTGCATTTAAGATGTGATTTCTCATGTCTGGACAAAGAATAAGCTTGTTGCCTTCAAAAAAAATAATAAAAGAAAGCTAGCATTGGTCACATAGGGGTGATCTTATAGAAAGGTTAAGAAAATAATAAAGAAATGACGTGTTAAACTCAAGTAGGATGGAAACCCATGAAGAGATGGTGTGACAGGAATGGAAGTGACAGTGATCAACAGAGGCAAGCTGCCTGTCCAGGAAAACACCCCAGAAGAAAAAGAGTAGCCAGGATGAACACCTGCCAAGTCTAACTCTTCAGTTCTGACCCCTTACGGCAAAGGAAGAAGAAACAGGGAGAGAAGAGCAGTTAGGGACACCCCCTCATCCACGGTTTCAGTTTCCACCGTCAACCGCGGTCCAAAAGTATTACACAGAAAATTCCAGAACTACAGAATTCACATTTTACATAATTTTTATTATGATGTATTGCTATAACTGTCCTATTTTGTTAGGTTATTCTTACTCCCTTATAAGTTTAACTTTAGCAAAGGTGTGTATGTATGGGAAAAATGTACAATAAATGGGTTTGGTTCTGAGGTTTCAGGCACCCCCTGGCGGTATGGAACGTACCTCCTGTTCTGAGGGGTGACTGGATTTCACTGACACAGGAAAAGCCAGAGCACCTGAGGTCTGACTGAGAGCTAGGAAGATAAACTTCGGGAGGCGGGCGTGAAGGCGAAGACTGACACAAGCTGCCGTGAGACACAAGTGCAGGCACCTCCGGCACTCCCGCCCACAGCTTCTCAAAGGCCCTGGGTTTGTATTCTTGGCGAATAAAGACTGTATCCTGTCATGGTGTATAAGGTGTTGTTTTGTGACATCATGGAGCAACATACATTGTGGGATGGCTTATTAACATGCCTACCACCTCACAACGCGATCCAAAATCTACTCTTTAAAGAAAAAAGGAAGAGTGGTTTAGTGGTTTTCATAGCATCATTATGAACTTCAGTCACCGTGTCATGAAACAGGTCCCCTGACCCCTGGGAAAAGCCATTCTAGCTGGCCAACCCGAGGCAGAGTAAACAACTTGACAGCTGAAGTTTAGCGACAGTTTTCTAGATGACCCCCGGGTAGATGATTTGTGATTAAGCGCCTAGATTCTAATCTATATCACCATTCTTAGCATCCTAAGGCAAGGGGAGTGACTGCGGGCTTGCCTGCTCTTTCCTTCTGGTAATTGTCTGCCTTCAATACGACTTATCGTAGCCATTAGCTGCTGGCAGGAGAGGGATAACAATAGGGCAGTGACGCTTGTCCAGCAGCTCCTGCAGCCACAGAGGGAGCAGGGTTAGCAGCTGTAACAATTGCTGGCCTGATGCCTAAAAGGATGGTTAGCCTTGAAACCCAAACCTACAATGATGCCCATCACGACACACACTACAGAAACTGGCATGAGTCAGTCTGCCCCGAGGTTCCCGATGAGCTCACTCCATCATTCCAGAGCTGGAAGGTCACATTCCCTTTTGCTGTTATGGCTTGGCTGCTGGTCCTCAATCTAGGAATATCACACTAGACTGGCATTTTAAAAGTAGAGTACTCTATACTACACATTTTAGATGCCCTCTGCACAGTTGTAGGCCTTTTAAAGTTTCAAATATTTGCCCTTTTACACTTTTAGTGCATCTTCAGGCCTCAAGAATGAGATGTAATTGGGCTACAAAAATCAAAGACCTACACCTTCAATGCCATCAGTTCTGCTAGACGTTAATAAAAAACATATTTTTTTAAAAAACAAAAGTGTGACTAGTTAAAAGATCATTTTTAAAAAACAAAGTGTTAAAAACAAAACAAAACAAAACAAAGTGTATGCTGCATAACTTTGACAAAAACCAGTTGATCTGAGGGCTAATCCACTCACTCACCTGTGGATTCTTCAACTTAGTGATGACTTTCCAAGCTTCATTGAGAATCTGAAGCCGATCATTCTCAGGTGGATCAGCCAAGGCCAAGTTTAACCCCAGTGAGCGAAAAAGGAGATGCTAAGGAGAAAAATATCAAACCATTATGTTACTGTCAATTTTAAAATCAAAGTTACTTGAGGTTTAAAAAGAAAAAGTCTGTGTCATTTAATCTGTCTCAGGGGAATCCTCCAGAGACTTCTTTCTGAAACCCCACTAAAAATCCACCCGAGCTACACGAAGAAAGTCAAGGCACTGGCAACAGGATTTAGCATGGTTCCATTCCCCAGAACCACACGTGCAAAAAGAGATGGCTCCAAGTACCGGTCTAAGTATTCTATTGGGCAAAGCTTTTCCCTAACAAGGAAGATGTATTTTGAAAGATGTTGAGGCCAAGTCTTTCCTAAATTCTTTACCGTGAGCTCATGGGATGGGCTTGGCAGGCCAGGGCCTGAGTCTTGGCAAACATGGTGTTAGCAATCCCACCTCTAACTCATCTTCCACCACATTCTTGGGGGACAACACCCTGGCCTGTCTCCTGGTGGCTGGGCTGCCGTCCACACCGGACTCTCTTGCCAGTCTGTTCTCCCACTGCAGACCAAGTCGAGAGCCTACCTTGGGGAAACCAGACTCGTCGCACTCTTTAATCATGCCAATGAAGTCCATAGACCTGGTAGCGATGAACTCGGCGCGGAATGCTGACATCACAGAGTTCAACAGCAAGGCACTACAAGACACAGGTGGACGCTGCAGTCAGCCCAGCTTCCCTTAAGGAAAGTCGCCTTAGTGTCAGCATACGTCCTGCCGGAAAGGAGGACTGACAGATCTCCAATACCAAGGTTCGAAAGAAGGAAAAAAGACCCAAGTGTAAAGGGCAGTCTCCAGAGGATGGTCAGTGTTCGTGCGTATTTGAATTTGATAAAGGAATTAACTGGATGGATGGCTGGATGGATGGAGAGACAGGTAAATCAGCAAGCAATCCAATCCATTCAGATAGAAGTGAGCCATCAAATAGGCTTATGCACTAATAAAATTACACGTTAAGTAGCAATATTGATCCATTCTGCAAATACATACCATAGTGATCAGAAGTTCTAGGCTCCTGGGACACAGTGCTGCACAAAACCCACTCACAGTTGCTTATGCATCCACCGCCAAAAAAAGAGCAAAGGGAACTTCATGCCCAGGAGGCAGCAAAGTCAAGTTCCCCCTGGCCCTAGCAAATATCACAGCCCCCTGGGGAAAGGACTACTATCATCATCCCCATTTCACAGATGGGGAGACTGAGGCATAGAGAGGACAAGGAAGGCACCCAAAGTCCCAGAGCCAAGATGGAGTGGAGCTGAGACCTGAGGCCAGGCAGTTAGTCACTGGCACTATAAACCTCCATGCCACCTTCCTGGGCCATTGGTCCTCACCTGTGTAAGCATGGCAAGCTCAAAAACAACCATATTCAACTTCTAGCCCATGCACCATGAATGTCAAAGTACTCACTTGTTTCCTAGCTTCTTACATCTTTCCATCATCTCAGTCAGCAGAGCCTAGTAAGTTTAACAAGAATATTGTCAGGTTGGAAGATCTGAATCAACAGTTCTTAAGAGACTTCCCAAATACAACACTTGAAAATAAACAGTTTCTACAATGCCCAGAAAGCATTGAAAGTATTTGGCTCCCTGATCTCTGACTGGTTTCCCAAGGTGCCTGCGGTTCGCTCAGTAATTCAATCAACAAACACGCAGACAGAACTTAGTGCTCACCAGTCACAGTGGGAAGCACTTTGCCATCATGGTCTCACCTCTCCCACCCACCCACGAGGCAGGCATTTTGTTCTCCTATTTCACAGATGAGAAACTGAGCCATGAAATAGTGACAGGCTCTGCCTAAGGTCATACAGTCAGCAGGGGCAGCCAGAAATGAACCTGAGCGAGCCAGCATCAAAGGCCACGCTCTTCCCACATCCTCTCCAGATCCACGTCCTCTCCTGACGTTCTTCAAGCCCTGAAGGAAGTAAATGGTTTATTCACTGGAATACTGCTAATAGCTTTAAAGCTATCTTTGGACAATTATGTATCTTCAAAAGAGCTCGTTTGCTTTTTTTAAAATCGATGTATGAAGTCGCCTGTAGGGCAGTGGTTTGGGCAAGGTTGAGCCTACGACACTGAGTGCTGGGCCCTGCAACTCACTGCACCCTAGGTGCCAGAACAAGGGACCTACTGCTCTGACCCATTCAGGCTTCACCACAGCAGGGGAGGCCCAGGAGACGTTAGGCCCATTTCACAGACAGGCTGAGCCAGGCAGGTCAAGCCCCTTCCTGGAGAGTGGGAGAAATGAGGCCTGTGTCTAAGTCTGGCTGAAGTCTTCACTGAAATTCCACCCTTCCTTGCTTTGCCACCCCATGTCCCTGGTGGTGCCTGAACAATTCAGGTAATGGTGGAGACCCTGTCGGCACCCCACCCCCAGATCCGGATTTCATTTAGATCCTGGTCCCTGCTCCACATACACCAGAGTGGTCCTGTCATGGACTACATTATGTACACCAAGCTGCGTGTTGGAGCCCAAACTTTTAGTATGATAGAATTTGGAGACAGGGTCTTTAAGGAGGTATAAAGGTAAATAGAGAACGTGTAAGCCTCCACGAAAAAAGATCCAAATCCTTGTAAGATGAAGAGCCAGCAGGGAGGTACACGTGCAGAGAAAAGGCCACATGAAGACTCAGTACACAGTCTGTACACCAAAGAGGAAGGCCTCACCAGAGACCCACTCTGCTGGCACCCTGACCTTCAACTTTCAGCCTCTATAACTGTGACACAATAAATGTCTGCTGTTTAAGCCATGCAGTCTATACTACCCGGTGTGGGCGTCTGGACTCCCTGATGCAGATCTAACTATATTGGCCTTCTCATTCCTCTGGGGGCTTATCTTATCTTGCTATGTAGCCCAGTGTGGCCTTGAACTTAGGATCCTTCTGTCTCCACCTCCCAAGTTCTGGAATTACAAGTGTTGAACCACCATGCCTAGCCCCTATTGGGTTTAGAGCTGGGCACATGATCCATTTCTAGCTCCTGAAACGGGATGGGAAGTCTGGGAGCTTTAAGGAAAGGTTATCCTATTGGAAAACAGACCCAAGGAATTGAAGACTCCATCTTTCTGTGTCTGGGTATAGTCACACCAGAATGTGACGGGGGGATGCTGGAGCTGCCTTGCTACTAGCCGGGATGGCAGAGCTGAGGAAGCCTGCCTGGCCCCAAGCCGCCCTTGCTGTGGGAGAGGACACACTTTGTCGGCTAACCTTCTTAGATATCTTTTCCTTGCAGTCAAAGCATCCCTAATGAAAACAACTGATGGTGTCACAAAAGGCTTCCCAATCCACTCATAGCATATTTAGACTTGAAAAGTCATTTCAAAAAACTTAATCCACAACTATTTATTGAGCACATTCCAAAAGACAGATCCTGTCACAAGCAACGGAGACATAGACATTAGGGCAGACAGGCCTCTGATTCTCCTGCCTACATCAGCCCATTTCTGTTTGTGACGCTTTCAATAAAGTGTATGAAGCTCATCCTTGATGACTAATACCAAAGTGTTTTCTTCTAGAAAGGGAAAGAGAACTCCTACGTAATTACCATAATACTCCCCACCACACAAATACTCACCACCACAAACCTAAGAGGCACCTTTAAGATCGCAGCTAGTATTCCAGGCATGGGGGAGAGGGCAGTGAGGAAAAGACTGGACAGTGCTCTCACGAGGTATATTCTGTCTCTCAAAATTCATGTGTGCACAAGTGCTCATGTGCACACACAAGTAAATCCAACGTTTTGGTCTACCACTTCCAAAAGGATAGCTAGGGCAATGCCAGCATATGGACAAGGGTTTCAGCCATTAAGACAAGAAAATACTTAAAAAGTTCCCATTTGGGGCCAGGCATGATGGTGAATCCTATAATCCCAGCTACTCAGGAGGTGGAGGTAGGAGGATCAGCACTGAAGGCCAGCCCCAGGGAAAGTTAACATGAGCCCCTATCTGAAAGATAAGCTAAAAGTAAAAGGGAAGGGGGCGTGGTTCAATACAGAGCACTGCCTAGCAAGAGTGAGGCCCTGAGTTCAATTCCCAGACTGCAAAAAAAAATGAAAAAAGTTCTTATTTTCACACACATACAAATGTATTAAAAATGCATCCAAAAACATAACTCAGGGGAAAGAAAGGGTTCTGTTGTCATATAGAAACAAAGGAATATCCACTAAGTGCTCAGGGCGTCAAATGCTTTGGATCCTAGGAAGGTCTGTTAGAGGTTAACTTTACTTACTTCATTTTTTTTTCTGACAAGTGACAGGATTGATTATCTTTGGCAAGAACAAGACAAACAACAGTTCAAAGCAGACAGGGTGACACAAGCCTGTGGCCACGCTGAAACAGAAAAGCTCAAGGCTCAGCACATCCAGTCCACACACCAGAACTTGGAGCTGCGTGAGGCAGGCACTTACCTTGAGTGACAGCCTTTGTCTAAGCTCTTATTATTATTGTTCTTGCCCTTGTGTTTCATTTAATTCGCTGACATATCATTATTCTAAAAAGTATACAAACAATGGGTGTACAAGAGCTCACACAACACTGACACACATCAAGGAGGGGGTGAATGCCCTCTGACCTCCCTCCTGGGAATCACCGCTGTCAACACTTTGGCATTGATCTTTCCAGAACTCCGCCTGTGTCCTATGGACACACAGTTCTCGCTGGAGAAGCCTGTTTTGGTTCGTTGTTTTATGAAAATGGACTGCTTATACATACAGGGCTGTAACTTACTCACTCTGGAATCGAGGATGGTCCAGCCTTCAAGTTATATGCACAATCTACCTCTGTCTTTTTAAAGGCTAATAGTACGTTAGTTTTCAAGCTGCCTCTAATTAATGGATGTGTAAAACCTCTTTCGCTTTTTGCAGTGCTTGGAGATCCAACCCTGGGCATACTAGGGATGCGCTCTGCCACTGAGCTCCACCCTCAGCCTCCAAACCTTTGATAGTGAACTAATTATAGCCGCATAAGCAATTGCAAACACAGTACAGGGAGGTCCTGGTGTCCATCACCCAGCTTCCCCCAGGGTGACATCTTACTTAACTCCAGTGTGCCATCAAAGCCAGGAAATGAACACTGGGGTAACACAGTTAACTGGACTATTTCACACCTTCTTTTGGTAGGAAAGGTCCGCCTTTGGGTCTAATTTCATGACATTTCAGCAGTATGTATGACATGTGTAACCACATTTAACTGATGGGTTTTAAGTCCATCTCCAGATTAGGGTGATGAAGGTATTTACCCACTTCAAAAGCACAGGAAAAAAGAAAAGAAGTAGACAGGTTATATTCTGTTTTCTAAACTATGATAAACCTAAATGTAATCCAGATTGCGTGAAAACTAGAATTTGTGCTTTTACTAACAGCTTTCCGGTCACTGCCTACAAACACCACTTCATAGGAAGAGCGGATGAAATGATATGCATGTCATATTTTCCTTCTTTTTCATCCTGACTTTTCTAAATGAAGCAGAAATAGAAGGGGCATACCAAATCAGAAATGCATCCTAAGACCTAACTAATATCCTTCCCCTAATCCAAATATGGCCGGGTCTCAAAGAACTAAAATATTTCACTGTGAATAAAGAGAAAATCTATACCCCAGGCATTTAAAAGGAGGAATTTTCCATTGTCCTATTATTTCTCTTTCACTGTGGATTTTTTCCTAATTTGAAAGAACAGGTAGAGCTGTATTGAAGGGAAGTTTAACAATGACCTTATACTTGGGTCCTTAGCCTAATCATGTCTTAGGATGTTTTAAAACCAGGTTCTAGTCAGGCCACTGGAGTAACAGCCCATGAGTCAGTCTGCCAGGCCCTGGAGTCCACCTCAAGGGGAGCAGTTAATAGGAGACACCAAAGAGGGACAGGTTTAGAGGGAACAGACCTGCTGGTTCAAAGTTAGTGGCAACATGGCCACAGGTGACCAGCTGTGTGACCTTAAGGAAGTTTCTAAGCCTTGGTCCTCTCATCTTAAAATGGGTGTAATAACAGAATGTCACTTGGTGTCTGGGAAGGAGAACTGAGGTAACCTCAGTTAACATCAGGCCCTGTAGAGATGGCACAGGGTGAGCCTCAACATGGCACCAGGTGAGAGATGCAGAGTCTTGGTTCTGCCTCTAACTGAGCATCTTCCTCCATCCTTCACTCCACCAGGTCCTCCAGAGATGATGGATGACCAATGGCCACAAAGTATGTTCAACAGGTGGCACTGTGTGGGATGGGAAGTGAGGGGAAGCACCTAAAATTATACAAGAAAATGGACAAAAAAGGGAAAAAAAATGGTTGGAGATGGGGCTCAAGTATCAGAGCACATGCCTAGCAAGTACAAGGCCCTGAGTTCAAACCCCAATACAATCAAAACCAAAACAAAACAAATGAAAAGCAAAAGAAAATTTTACAAGAAAAACTTTTTGTCCACAGAACAAAACTGAAAACACAGAACAGGAGAAATATCAGACAGGAAGGAAAAATGTGCGCAAAATACTAACACTAACCATTTATGGATGGCAGGATTTTAGGTGGTTATTTTTCTTTCAACCTTGCTTTCTTTTCTAAATTCTATCCAATGACTCTGTACTTTTCCTAATAATTTTTTCTGGTCATGACGTTCTTTCTTACTGTTTTATGTCCTATTTTCACACCACTATCTGGCAGTTCTCCCCTCTCTAGTCCCTCTGGTGCCCCTCTGGTGAGCATCTGCCAGCCTCTCTCCACAGCACTCTGCTTATACGTCATTCTTCAGACCAAAACCTCAGGCGCTCCCAGCTCTTGGGATGGGAGACCAGCCACCCTACAGCCCAGCCCAGCATAGCCAGGTCCACTCCTAGCCACCCTGACTTCTCCCACTGGTCCATGCCTGTGGCTGGCCTCTGTTAGTATATGTCTCCTCCCTACCTGCCCCTGTCCTTCGAGCCAGCTCAGGCCCTATCTGCTTCTGTGAGGCCTGTGGGGACCACCCACAGGAATGGTGGCCTCCCCTATTAGCCATGCACTGATGGACATCACCCTAGTCACCATCACAACAGCCCTTAAAGGAAGATCTATTCCCACATTTTACAGTTGGCAAAACCGAGGCCCAGGAAGGTCAAGAGGCCCAAGGTAAAGCAGGTGTGCTGCACGTTCCTCTGCCCTCCTTCAGTGTCAACCCTGTATCATGCACCAGAGCCACAAATGATGTCGGTGGCCAAACCTCCCCCTCCCCTCCCCCGGCCCCTGCTGCCTCCCATCCCACAGGCAGCTGCTGGGGATGGTAAGCTGCTCATCATAGGATCTGCCTAAAAGCAAGTTGTATAACAGGCTAGCTCTTGTTCTGGGCAGAATGGGCCTGAAACAAGGTGCACACATCCATTTTTCACTTACTCTGTCTTCAAAAGGCCCCTTTCAATAATCACTCTCTGAATTCTTTTCTTACTTTTGGATTCTGATTATAAAATTTGGGGGGTTTTTTTGACACAGACCTGGACCTCAGGATCCTCCTGCCTCCACCTGCTGAGTACTGAGATTACAGATGTAAGTCACCATTCCTGGCTGTGATTTCAATTTCAATTTGAAAATTTATCCATCAAATATACAGCTAAGGCATTTCTCCTTCCCTTCTTCACCTGCCTGTGTTGTACATCACCATCTGCCACAGCGCGGCCTCACAGTCCTCTCTAGGAGGCTCAGCTCCTTAAAGACATACGGCTCTAGTCCCAGCTGACTCATTCCAGCCACCACCACAGAGCTTTAGCAACCCCACGATCTATACTGTCACCAGTCCTACATTTATAAAATGATCATTTGGGGGGGATACTGGGGCATTTGAACTTAGGGTCTCACATTTGCTAGGCAGGTGTTCTTACCACTTGAGCCGCTCCGACAGCCCCTGAAAATGATCATTTTTAATGAGACACTGTGAGTCCCTTGTTTAAGTGCCCCGAGAACTGGCATTTATTATTATTCAGGTGACCCCATTTTTTAATCAGTCCTCCTAGCACAACCATTTCCTAGAGCTGTGCTCCCGAGAAAGTTCTATTCTCAGCCTCTGCCACCCACTGAGGTTCCTGATGCTTAAAATAAAAGGGTGCCTATGACATGCACCTTTGTGTTTAATCTGATTTTGCCTTTCATTAAAACAAGGGGGAAAAAAAGGTGCTCATTTTCAACACGCCAATCCTGACTGAATGAATGTTTGAGTCATTGGAATGGCGAAGGCAGCTTCTTCCTACCATTAAGTTCAGTCCTCTTCCCCGCAGGAGGGGACAGAGCACGGTAGCTGAGACCATATGGAAGATTACAGAGGAGGGGTAGCAAAGTTTAAACAATCTTCTGTTCATATTGGCTGCATTTAAAATCAGTTCACTTAATGGTTAAAACATGTTTCACCTAAAATATAAGAATTCAAAAAAGTAAAAATATAAGCAAGGCATACTTAGAGCACTTGGGAAAAAGATGGGCAAAGAAAAATAAGATGGTCCCAAATTTTACCCTGCAGTGATATCATTTTTCCTCTAGTGCAGATATAAAAATCATGTACATGAATGGCCAGGTGTGCTGCATGCCTGTAATCCCAGCATTCAGGAGGGCGAGGCAGGAAGGTTTTGAGTTTCAGACATAGTAAAACTGTCTTCAAAGAAACAAAAAAGCCCCCAAACCAAAAGGAGCCACTTAGCACCTTAAGAACATTGTCCTGTTTACCTGCAACAGACCAAAGAGGAATTACTGTCACTGTTCCCATTTTACAGATGAAGCATGAGGCTCAGAGGGACCTGTGGCAGGTCAGCTGGCCTCCACCTTCCCTCATGCCTTCACATGAGCTGAGAGATGAGACGCAGGCACCCGGGGAACCACCATTTTCTACTCGGCAATATGCTATGACACCTTATGTCAGGAGGGACAGATGTTCATGGGTGCCCATCCTTCTAGCAGCCCCATTAGGCCCCACTGAGCACACACATCCAACACCCTCCAGCAGGGCAGTTACCTCAGGGGCACGATAGGAGATGCACTGGAAGATCCAGTCCATAGCGGGCGAGTACAAGGGGAGGTAGGATGGGAGCTCCACGCCCTGGACCACCAGCTGGTTCTGGACAGTATCTCCATGAATCTACAGAAGACCAAAGGGACACTCAGAAAAGGAGAAGAGTCACCAACAAGCAATGAACCCATAACCCATAGGTGGGGCCAACTCGGAAGCACTTGACCATCCTGAGAGAAATAGCCTTGTTTTTTCAGGCTATAAAAAAAAACAAAGAAACCACCAAAATTTTCCCATGTCACCAAGCTGGGCTGTTCTGGGAATGTGCACCATGCAGGCGAATAACCTGATTTTTATAAACGGAGTTGACAGATGCCAGGAAGAAAGGCTGGTGAGCTGGAGCCATTCTCTGTTCACCCAGGCATGCAATTCTGCGTGCTCAGGACGATCAATATGTTTTAAAGGCCCCCAACAGACTCTGCTGTCAATTTCGAGTATCTGCACATTTAACAGGCTTTCAGGCATTCTCAACTTGGAAAGCCCACTGGGTTTTGTGAATTTGCTGTTGCTTAACTGTTATTTCCATGAGCTGCCTAGACAGTCTCTTCCTACCTGTTTGAATGTAAGCAGGAAGTCAAAGAAGTTCTTATTTAGGCTTTCTTTGAGGTGTGGAGCCACTTCCATCCCCACCTGCAACCAAGCAAAACAAGATTACCTTCACAATGGAAGAACCAATTGCAAAGAATACATATGGTATGACACCATTTTTGTAAATTAATGTAAGTATATATGTACATGTGCATATATGCATAGGTATACATGTGTATATATCTATGTCATATGTACAGACTTAGAGGAAATGCTCACAACATTCATTTTTGTTCTTTTTGCTTATCTGTTTCCCACTCAATAGACATGTACTGTTTTTATAGGAAAACCACAGAGTCTATTTTTAATGAAAAATGGACATTTGCAGTAATCATCTTTGCAATTTCCCAAAGGTAATGGATGTATTTCTGGACAGATGACCAGAGAACAAATCAATAGGACCAAGGAGGGTGTACTCTCAAGACTGTGTCCATAATGCTCTCTTCCCCTCAAAATAACTAGATAAATAAACGATCAACATGCATGTGCTCGTACTCATTAGAAGAAGCAATAAGGCTACGGCGGGGGCTGGGTGTGGTGGTAGAGCGTGTGCTTAGCACACGAGGTTCTGGGTTCAAACCCTGGTACCTCCTCTTACCCCCCAAAAAGGTTAGGGTGTATAGGAGAGTCAGCCTGGGAGGCCACCGCTGTGTTGTTGATGTATTGGAGCCATTTTGTATAAGTCAGCCATGAAGCAGAGCCGTGCTATAATCCACTGGCTCCTGAGTATAGTGTTTTAAAGTCAGAAGCAAGGTACATGCACTAGGGTGGCAGTGACACTCGCTGCACAGAGGGCCTTTTCCTGGGTTTCTAGCTAAAGAGACCTGTTGATCACATAGTCCTGGGAGAGGGGGTGTCAAACTGAAGCAGGAACTAGGCAGGGGAATGCACGTGTTAAAAACCAAACCAAACTAAATCAAATATAACATCCCTTCAACTGAGCTCCTCAGACATGCCCCAATTCCAAATAGCTGCCTACCCACAAAAACATACTGCCTCCGGGACCCAGTTCCTCCCAATGGGGACAGATTTCACTTCTCAGTAACTGGCAGTCCTGATGGCTAACCATAATGGTCCTTTAGATGGCTGTGAACCATCCCTTTGGGAAGAACCATGTGAGATCCACCAAGGGGTTCTATTCCAAGAGAAGCTTTTACAGCTGTTGGGGGACAGGATGGGACATTCCCAAGGACAAGCACACAGATTCTGCTTGTTCTCATCCTACTGCCTTCCCTTCTATTTAATCATGTTGTAAAAAAGTCGATAACTATCTGTTAGGTGACAGCAGAGGCTGCCCAGGGGACAGGCGATGAAGATGAGCCAAGAGTTGCTCACACTTTCCCATAATAAACGGCTTCAGGCTCCTCCGCCCACCCACGTATGGCTTTTGTTTCTTGTTTATCATACACATCGAGCCAAATGGGCAGCTTGGAGATCGGCCTGGGTCTAAGAGACTTCCACCTAGGCAGCAAGGGGGCCAGCCACTCATGGTTTCCATCAACATTCCTGCCTGGCTTCCTCTTCTTCTGTCACTACCTGAGTTGTCTCTGGGAACTCATAGCTCCCTCTCTGATCAGGAAACTACATTAAGCTGAGCCCCTCCTCCAAGTTCCAGGGGTGAGCACATGACCTAGGCCCTGTTAGCAAGCATACCCCTTGGTATGGCCACAGCAAATGTCCAGGGATAGGCAAAGTGCCCCAAGTTGGTCCACTGAGAATCAGCCTCAAGACTCTGGCAGGATGTATTGGGGAAAGGTACGTTTCTAGCACAGGGCCTAAGGGTGGTAGGATGGAAGCCCGGAGCTGCCATATGTAAAGAGCAAGCCACAGAATAAAGGCAGCCCAGAAGAAAGCCAAGCCTGCACCACAAGGCACTCTTTAGACACACAAGCCAACCAAGCCTTCTTTGTGCTTCAAATAGGCTGAACTTGCAACTGAAAGTATCTAACAAATGGGCTTTTTTTTTAAACTGTTTCGCTACGAAGCCCAGTCTGGCCTAGAACTCAATATTCTCCTGCCTCTGCCTCCTGACTGCTGGGATTATAGACATGTATCACCACATCCCACTCCTCTTGCTCTTCTCAGATCAAGACTTTCTGTAACTATTCAGCCAGGGGAGTTGATGTGGTGCTTGCACTCACATAAGTGATTTGGGCCATGCGGTGCAGTGCACTCCCTCCCTGTGTCTCTGGGATGGCTCTGCTTTGTCCTCACCATCTTCTCAATGTCATCCTGTTTTCAAGTGGCACCTGCCAGGGCTGGTGGGTGACTCAAGTGATAAGTACATGCTCAACAAGTGTGAGGCCCTAGTTCAAACCCCAGTGCTGCCTAAAAAAAAAAAAAAAAAACCACAAATCAAATGGCACCTGTCATTCAAAGCCACAGTTTTCCTAGTCCATGTGCCTTTCTACCTTTCTTCAGACTTTCTCAACAGATTTGCAAGAAGTGTGTCTTCTCCTACCTGACTCCTCTTAACAAGTAGAATCTTCCACAAAAGATGGCGTGATTCCAAGTCTTTATAACTCTATTATTCAACTAAGGTCAAAGTGAGTTCAGAGAATTTGCTGTGACGCACCAGGCCAGAGGCAGTTGAGTGCAAATGCGCAGTGATCCACTTGCAGCTCTCACACAGGACCGGGAGTGTTTTGTTCACAGCAGACCCTCAGCAAACTCTAGGAAACCACCCATACTGGGTGAAAAGCCCACCCCAAATTTCAACAGAAAACAATGCTGCACACTTCTGCTTATCACAGAGCAGGGCAGGTGCCCTGCAGTGACAACTTTCTCTTTTGAGCATCAAGAAGCAGGTCTGTGAAGAGTGTCCTTCCTGATGGTGGTCTGCTATTCATGCCGAAGGCCCTGACCAAGGATTCCTTCCGTCACTTGCTAGTGTCATGTAGGAGGAGCAGATCAAAGGCACTTCTGGTTTTATAACATGCCTGACTGTGGCTCTGTCCTCAACCAAGTCTGGGCTTCATGGGGGAAAGGAGCCCTCGCTCATGGCGCCCAAGGCTGAGGAGGGGAGCATGGTGAGCTGCAGCTCAGAGTCCCGACAGGAGCCTGTCCTGAACAAAAGTGTCCTGTACACTTCAAGGGTTGTATTTTTCATAAACAAAATACTGTACAGTTTTAAGTCAAATCTTCAAGGTACTTTTTTTTTTTAAACAGGAAAGCAGGACACGTGATTCACCACAGTCCCTGCCAGCACAGGGAACATGGCTCCAGTCAGGCCTTCACCACCACCAATTCTTTCACAGGAGGACAAAAACAACCCAGAAAACCATCAAGTTCAAGACAACAGAAAGCAGTGTCAAGTTACTAAAAAACAGGCTGCTCTCTGAGAGCCCCGAGCCGCCTTCCCCACCAGAACTGAGAAACAATGAATTCTGAAAACCAGCTCATTCGTACGGACGTGACCTTAAACTTCACTAATTAGAGCTGTGGTAAGTTGGTCTACTTTAAAATTAACTTTTACAAGAAATCCTCCAGCTCTACTTTCTGCAGAAGAGCTATTCCTAAAATTAGCAGCTAATAAAGAGCTCTCTGATGCCTATGCAGTGGGGAGGGAGAAGCCTGTGAAGAACAAGGAGACAGGGCGGGGCCCTGTTGTGAGCTCAGCCTACCCGGCACAGGTAGGCCCGTGCATACACTGCCACCAGCGGGTCCCCGACCCCTCTGATCATGCAGGTCAAGCGTGGCAGGCACTCGGAAATCCCCCTGTGGGAGACAAAGAGGCAGTGTTACACCCCTGGGAGAACTGCTGTTCTGTTTTAACCATGGAGATAAAGCTCAACTTCCTAAACTTCAGGGAGAAAAAGACACAAGTTTCAGGAACATGGCAAGGTCAAAGTTTCAGAGTAAGGCAATGAAACAGGTTCTTCTCTCCTGATACAGTTCAAAGAATGGCTTCTTTCATTTTTTTACCAGCTGCTCAGGGTCAGATGTAACCACACTTACTTTATTAGATTAAAATAACAGTAATAATTATTATTATTAAACAGGGACTTTCTATGTAGCCCAGACTGGCCAGGAACTCTCAATCCTCCTGAGTGCTGGGATTAAAGACATACACCACCATACCCAGCCTTACTTTACTAATTGTAAGTTTTGTCCCCCAAAGATTTTCCATCAACTGGTCACCCCTTCATCTTCTCCACAAATCTGCAAGAAAGGATCCTTTGCCACTGATTTGATGCCCAGTGCTGAGTCTCTTCCCAGCACGTCAGGCTGGCAGCAGACACCCCGCCCCCACCCCGTCAATATGACTTATGACTGCTCTCCTGACAAGGGAGGCAAAATAACAGTCTCTTCAGCACCCACACTTTCCCTGAAGTGCCCCAGGCATCCCTAGAGTCAATCCACACAAATTTAGGGGTGATCTAAATGTTATCCAAACTGAGTCCTGTGAAGCACCTTACAGTCCCCAGCTGTGAGGAGTCTGGCTCCCAGCTCCCATGCGTGTCACCAGCTCTGCAGCACAAGGACTTGTGCCTCACTGAGCTTTGTACATGGCTCTCAGAACCATGTCTGGGACGACCCAGAGCGGATGCAGCCTGAGTCCCATGGCCAAACTTCACCTTCACCCCCACACGAGCAGGTCCACCATGTGCCAGCCATGACTCCAGGGGCCATAAAGACCTCTCGTCAGGGTCGTGCTCACAGGAGAGCAGGCCAAGGCTCAGGGCCACAAGGCCAGATTCAGACACAGCACAGCCCGCTGAGTGCTCCTCTCCATGTGTCACGTGGGGATTAAAATGGCATCTCTACTTCAAAAGAAGGTGTCCAATGCCCCCTACCACACACCATGCACTCATGAACGACAGCCATATGGCCCTGGGCTGTGCTGCGGATGAGGGCGTGGGTGAGACTTTTAGAACTTTGTTATTTCTAGACATTGAGGAAGAGCCTTACGTTTTGGAGAGGAATTTGTTACACTTCAGGATGGATGCTTCCACATAACTAGAAGCATTCCGTTAAGGAAGACATTTTCCAGGCAGCCTATTCCTGCAGAGCACAGAAGACTGCACACAGCACACACACAGCGCAGGACAGCACAAGGGTGGGTGGGTTCTCTCCGTCCTGAGCTGAGGTAGCCACTGGACTCATGGCTGCATGCCGGAATGTGAAGTGAGTTCTCGGCAATTCTGATCAAGGCTTTCTGGGGAAAGAATAAACCTCAGAGAACTAAGATACAGCTTGTGTGCAAGTCAAAGTCTCTGTTCTGTGATACTGGTGTTTGTGCCAAAAGGTTTGCCCTTGTTTTGGGGAGTTTTTGGAACCAGAAAAAACACATAAAGACGAGGCGTCTTCACTGTGAAAATGAATGTGGGAATGGCCCAGGTTTAAAGCAATAAACAAAACTGTGTGGCGTCAGAGTCCCAGCCAGGTGTCTCCCCTGAGGTGCGCCCTGTGTGCTCAGGTTAGTGGCCATGACAGGATGGAATTTCCCACGGGCGTGGCTTCTATGACAGTGTGACTTTCCCTGTCTTTACAGTCATCGGAAGGAAAAAAGGATACAATCTTGGGATGAGTTCCCTGATGGAAGCAATCTTGAAAAACCAATTCAGGCATGTCTCCTTGGCTGTGTCATTTATGTTCTCTGGAGAAAAGTGATCTGTAACAGAAAACAAGCTGTCAGTCCCCAAGTCCCAGGATCCTACAGCTGCTCCAAGTCCATGGAGCAGAAAATGAGCAGACGCAGTTCCTCTGTGCCTCTCCTCCAACGCCACCACCATTGTTGTAACACGTGTACACACACACACACACACACACACACACACACACACACACACACACCCCAGCTCTCCAGTCCCCACAGGAGCCCTCCCAGGCACTTTCATCATCTCTTTTCAGACACAGAGACCCAGGCACAAGGAGTTCAGTGACTTGCCTGGGACACACAGCAAGGCACAGTGAGAGCTGAACACAAGCCAGGTGCCTGGCTCCATAGCCTATAGCTGAACCCAGAGGTTCTTAGTGTACTGGGCAGTAAGTGTGACAGGGGTATGCTCCAGGGGCTTGCTCCTGTAACAGGACAATGAGCTTTTGCCTAAAGCACAGTGTGGGCCATATCTAGAGGTAAATTTCGAGGTCCCGAGGTAAGAAACCAGCCAGAGCTGCTGGCTCCACAGCAGCTCCCAGCTCCAGTCACCTTGCAGTCACATAGCCAGTTTATTCCATTATCTGTTCTTCCTCTTTAATAACAGAACTCTCCCTTTTCTGCTGGGCATGCAGCCACCCCTGCAGCTAGGTGTGATCACATGACCAAGTTCTGGTCCCAGAATACAAATGAAAGCACAACTTCTGGGAACCACCTTTAAGGGAAGGAGCCCTCCCTCACTCCTTCTTTCAGCCTACCCATTGCAATACAGACACAACAGCTGGAACCTCTGTAGTTACACTGAGAGCAACAGGACAGAAGTCAGGATTCTAATAGCCATGATCCTCCTTAATTATTTGAAGTTTTCTGGCACTGGCAGTCAAGCCAAATCTTGACATGTACTCTTTATCTTTTTTTTAATTTTTATTTAAAATAAATTAATTTTATTTGTGTGTGTGTGTGTGTGGTACTGGGGCTTGAACTCAGGGCCTACACCTTGAAGCCACTCCTCCAGCCCTTTTTCCAGATAGGGTCTCACAGAACTATTTGCCCAAGCTGGCTCTGAACCTCGATCCTCCTGATCTCTGCCTCTGAGCAGGCAGGATTACAGGCATGAGCCACTGCTGCCTGGTGCATTCTTTATTTAAATGACAAAAAACTTACTTCTTACTGGGTGTCCAGTGACTCATGCCTGTAATCCTAGCTATGCAGGAGGGACAGATCAGGAAGATCATGGATCAAGGCCAACCCAGGCAAAAAGTGAGATCCTATCTCAAAAATAACCAACACACAAAAAAAGGGCTGGAAGAGTAGCTCAAGTGGTAGCGTGCCTGTCCAGCAAGCACAAGGCCCCTTGTGCAAACCTTATATACGTTATACATAGACATATATGCACATATCTATACATCTACATCTAGTCTATATATAAAGAGAAAGACAGACAGACACGCTCAGCTTCCTGGTTCTCATCTTGCTTTGCAATGAGTCATTCTTTAT